GAGGGACCTGCCCCCCCAAATATCCCCCCCCATCACAGCCGTCCCCCCTCCCCCTAACAACTTCCGGTCCCACTACCAGGCGACAGGCGGCGTGGCCGAACACCGAGCGCCCCCAAGCCGGGGACTGCTGGGGGAAAAAAGGGAGAGCAGCTAGGGGAGAGTAGCCGAGCGCCGAGAGACTTAAGTCCGAAAGGCGCCGTCGCGGGTGGAGGCTATCGCAGGCACCCCTTCCTCTGCATCGAATTTGCCAACGAGGCGCACACTGGACGCCCCACCTGCCCTGGCATGCCTCCCCTAGCGCCAGGTTTTGCGTCTCTACCTCCTAAGACAATATTGACTTTAACCTCTTAGCATTCTTTGCCTTTCCTGCCAAGTGCGTAGGAATTGTGGGGGAGGGGCTTACATGGTTTTTCTTTCATCTCCTCTCTTGGGGGTGTCCTGAGGTCAATCACCTAGGCTTCGCTGCGGTGGAAGCCCTACTTCTTTACTTCCCGGCGCCTGCCTTCTTTCTTTCCTCCCCCCATCTTTTGTTTGTTTGGGGCTAGTCTTACACATCCCAGTACAAATGCAGCCTCCCTCCTGCAATATGCTCACTCCCCAGGCCCCAGACATGATCAGTCACTTTATTGGAATATTTAGAAAAGTAGATTAAGAGAGAGGGTTGCACCTCTCAGTGTCCTCGTGACCCTCTGGCAATCCAGAGAGGCAATCGAAAGTAGTATATACACTTTTCTCACACATTCTCTGAAGAATCCAAGAAGAAAAAACAAGGCCTTGATGGTGACAGGCATTAGAAGTGGAGGTGGGGTAGGAAGAGAAAATGGAATTACTTTTCTCAGCTCCAGCCCCTTGCTCCAACAGCTCACACTTCCTGGCTCAGGGTCAGAGGCCAAGAGGGGTATGTAACATAGTGTGCAAGGACGGAGGTGCCTGGACCTGGGTATGGCAGGGAAGGCACAGTACCGGGTTTGTGACCCAAGTGGGGAGGTGGAAAATGAGGCCAATGGGTGGGGGAAGAGGGTTGAGGTGGCTCAGGGGTGTGGACAGCTCCATTCCATACTCTCATGGGGTGACACGGACGTGGACATGATGCCAGGCATTGCTGAGCACACCTCGCAGGTTCCAGATTGGGGCCACGGTGTCTGGCTGCACGTTGTAGCTGTCATCCACAGCCTTACAAACAATGTTCAGTTCCTTCTGCCCAGGCGGCACAGGGACTTGCAGCTGCCATAGACGCCAGGCCCAGGCCTTCCTGGGGCGCTGTCCCTCTCCACACAGCTCAGCTGCCTGCCAGGTTAGGCCCCCATCCAGAGACACATCCACCCGGATCACGGCCCTGCCACCACCACTCCATGCATAGCCCTTGACGGTCACCTCCCCTGACTCTATAGTTTCCCCGTCCCGGGGCTCTGTGATGGCTGACTGGACAGGAAGTTCCTGAATAGATGGAGCTGAGTCAAAATCTACAGTGTCCCAGTCCACAGACGGAGAGAAGCCTTTGTAATCCCGCCGTTGCCAGTGGCTGCAACTTTCCTCTGGCTCCACACTCACTCTGCCCAGCCATTTGACATGGCGGGCACCCACCACACCAGGAACTACCACCCGCACAGGGAAGCCATGGTCACGAGGCAGAGGCTGCCCATTCATCTCATATGCCAGCAGGACCTCAGCTTCAGGGTCCATGGCCCGAGCCAGAGGGATGGATGCTCCATAGGCAGTCCCCGTGGGATCAGAGTCCAATCCCTCAAAGCAGACATGGGCCTCAGTTTCACGGAGTTGGTGACCAGCTTGGGCTAACACATCACAGAGTCGTGCACCAGCCCAGCGTGCAGTGCTGATGGCTCCTATCTTCCACTCCAGCCCTTTTACTTCTTTAACCTGAGTCATCTCAGAGCGCCGGTTGCCAGCACACTGCAGAGTGACTGTGATCTCATGCTTGGGAAACTTGTACAAGTCATCCAGGGACAGAGACAGCGACTGACCCCCAGGTGCCCCTACTACGTGCAAGCGATAGGTGTCTGGATCCAGGTTAGGTACAGGCAGATGGTTCCGGGTGAAGAAGATAGGGTTGGGTGTGATGTAGTTTTCTGTCAGCAGTTCAGGGGGGGGCTCTGCATTAAAGGGGCGCTGGCTGTTGACCTGGAGGGCTGGGTGACGCACTGGATCATCAGCATAAGGGTCAGAGGTCTCCAAGGCGGGGGGCACCTTGTCTTCAGGGTTCAGTTCCCCGATCTTGTACTGAGCCAGTAACTCACGCACGTGGGACTGGTTGTGAACACCATAGAGGGCCCAGAAGGGTTCCAGGGGACCCCCAGCTGCTAGCATCAGCTTTGATGGCCCCCCTGGATGTAAGTCCACAAATTCTGTGACATCAAAGACCTCAGAGCCCAGAGTCACCCAGATCCCAGTCTCAGGGCTGGTATGGGAACTCACTTCCTCCTTAGTGTATACTCTTGTTGAGTCCTGAGCGGCCTGCAGGCAGGGGAGGGGTGAGGCAAACGGAATGGAACGGAATATTAAGAAGAAATCACTCTCACTTGCCCTCACCCAACCCACAGCCTTGGCCATTGGGAACTGAAGGTGGCAGCTTTCATCACTGTGCATGAAGACAGGGTCACCGCGGTCTTGGTGGTAACCCAGTCTGGGTTGTCTGTGGAGTTAATAGGACTGACCCCTTGGTTCTGAAAATGGAGCCCCTTCCCCACTTACCCTACACCGATGGTCATGATAGGCCAACACTGTACCGAGGCCTAATAGGGTCCCCATGACTCTCCATCCCCGGGTGCTGGAGGCATCACCAGAGAAGGTGAGGCTGGGGTGCTGAGGTTGACATGAATCACTTGTAGAGGAGGCCTGAATGCAGAGCCTTGAGAGGGTTGACCTTTGTCTGGAAGAGAGAACGGTCTTCTTAGTAGCACATACAGTCATATGAAAGGGTCAGTGAAGGCCTGGGGTCCGCTGCTCCCTGGATGGCCAGTGGTTCCGTTGGTTGGAATGTAGTTTCTCCAGGGATAGGTGGGACAAGTGGGATATGGATTTCCCTCTCCTCCCTGGCTACCCTCTCAAGGATCTTATCTGGAAGATAGCATGCTGTAAAGATACTGAGGGTGGCTGACAGGGGTTAGGGGGCAAGTCCAGGGATGCGAAGGCCTACCTGCAAACCTGTCGGAGCCCGGGGGCCACAGCTCTGTGCAGCAGCAGCATTGTGGAGACCTGTAGGAGATTCTGGAATTGAGATAGGGAGCCCCTGGGAGGGGATATTAGGCTTCAGAAAATGGGTGGAAGACAGAGATGAACAGCAAGGAGCCTTCTGGACAAATGGAGAGACTTAGGGATAGGAGTCCAAATGGGCCTTTAGAGAAAACTTAGGGCACTTCAGAGACAAAGGCTGTGCGGATAGGATGGCAAGTAATGTCCACCATAGAGAACAGTGCCTGGGGCCAAGAGCTCAAAGGGCAGAAGTCAAATCTCTACTGTCTAGTTTGCCAGTTTATTATTTATTTTTCTCGAGTTGGGGTCTCATTCTGTCTCCCAGGCTGCAGTGCCATGGCACGCTCACTGTTCACCACAGCCTTGACCTCCTAGGCTCAGAAGATCCTTCTGCCTTTGCCTCCCAAATAGCTGGGACTATAGGGACATGCCACCATGTCCAGCTAACTTAAAAAAAAATTTTTTTTTTTTTGAGTTGGAGTCTCACTCTGTCGCCCAGACTGAAGTGCAGTGGCACGCTCCTGGTCACCGCAGCCTCGACCTGCTGGGCTCCGGCGATCCTTCCGCCTCCGCCTTCCAAATAACTGGAACTACAAGCACGCACTACCATGCCCGGCTAATTTTTGATTTACTGTAGAAATGAGGTCTTGCCAAGTTGCCCAGGCGGGTCTTGAGCCCACGGGCTCAGGCAATCCACTCACTTCAGCCTCCCAAAATGCTGGGATTACAGGCTGAGCCACTGAGCCCGGCTAAAAAAAATTTTTTTTGTAGCGATGAGGTCTTGTTATGTTACCCAGGCTGATCTTGAACTCCTGGGCTCAAGCAATCCTCCTGCCTTAGCCTCCCAAAATACTGGAATTACAGATGCCCGGCCCAGCTTATTATTTCTGATGTCAGCAGAGGAACAACTGAGGGTTAGAATGACTTAAAATAGGGACAAAACAAGTAAAAAAGATAGTGGCAGCCTGATTGGGTGAAGGAGCCCAGATTCTGGAGGCAAAAATGCCTCGAGTTTGTAAAACTGGACCCTGCCATTCATTAACCAGCTCTGTTTCCTGAACAAAATACCAAGCCTCTCTGAACTTGTGTCCTCATGTCTGAAACGAGATCTACCGATCTACCTAGCAGAGATGATATGAAGACTCAACAAATACGGAAGCTCCCATTTATCAGCTGGGGATACATTACAAGATTCCCAATGGATGTCTGAACCCACGGATAGTACCAAACCCTGTATATACTATGTTTTCCCCTATACATACATATATACCCACGATCAAGTTTAATTCATAGATTATGCACAGTAAGAGATTAGCAACGAAACAGACCAATTATAGTATTACACTATAATAGAGGTTATGTGAATATGGCCTCTCAAAGTACCTTGTACTCAGCTCGCCTATTTTCTGAGCTGGTGACCGTGGCTAACTGAAGCCGTGGAAAGTGAAACCTCGGATAAGGGGAGGCTGCTGATATAAACACTGTCTCTGAAAACCTTTCAGTCCCCTCCTATCCCTCCACTCACCCTAAAAAAGAATTTAATCCAGCTGGGAATTGGACCCCACCTGGGGTCCCCCACCCCAGTCTTGTCTATGCCACGGTAGTGAGCGCAGCAAATTGAGGAGTTAATTGCCAGCGTGTCAGGGTACTAGCTGGAGAAGGAAGCTGATTTTTCTGCTCTCTTCCTGCAGCAGTTTCTTCTTCACAGCACTGGGCAGAGCACTGACCCGGGCTCTGACCCAGGCAGGCCGAAGTGAGGAGGGCTGAGAAGTGTCCAAATTGCTGACCAGACGCTGGAGATGGGCGTGGGTGGGCTCGTAGGTAGGGAGAGACCTCCAGAGAGAGTAGGAACAGAGTATTCTCTTTACTTCTGGGCCGTGGGACCTTCACGCTCCCTGCCACCTACCTCAGTCCCTGCTTGCACTAGGCTGGAGCACTGCAGGCAGGGCTGTCTCGCAGGGGAAGTCCGTCAGCCAGGAATCCCAGGTTTGGGAGGGGCGGCCCTTTGCTGCAATACAGAAATGCCGCCCCTTGGTGCGGGTGGCACACCGGCGCCCTCGAGGTGGGATATATCCGGCGTCCGGGCACAAGCAGCTGGCACAAGTGGGTCTTGTGGCAACACCCCGCGACCCCAAGAGCACCGGTCGGCCGGCGTGGGGAGAGGGACCGGCAGTTTGGTGCTCCTGAGGCTCAGAGCCCCGCTGGGCGCCGAGGCCCCCTCCGCCGCCAGCTCAGCAGCCT